TCGTTCGGCGAGAGGCCTTCCACGCGTCCTGCAGCGCTCCTGCCCCAACAGGCAATGCGTACGGCCAAGTGAATGCTGTCGGTGATTTCTGTCGATTGAGAAAGCCCGGTTTATTGCCAACCGCTGTCTGCAGCTGCACGAAAAAGATTTCAAAGCAGTATCTGAGCTGATCAGTGGTCTAAAGCTGCAAATAACTGCCTTGTCGTATTATAAATTTAACAATTACTTGAATTGAATTTAGTTGCAGACATGATTTCCTGACATCAGTAACATGTGACTGATGATGTGAGTCCGAGAGGCGCCTTCCAGCCGCCAACCTAAGCGGTTGACATGGCGATCTTGGTGGCCCGGGTCAAAAAGAGGGAGGGAAAATTAAAGGGAGGGACTTTCTTTGGTCAAAAAGAGGGAGGGAAAACTAAAGGAAGTTTTGAGTGGTCAAAAAGAGGGAGTGAATTTCTATGGTCAGAAACGGAAGAGAATATCGGCGATCCTAGAATTTGACGAAGTTCAGACCGAGCATGATTTGAGCAAAACAAACTTTTCAAGCACTACCTCCGGAAGCTGTTGTAAGAACTTTAGATATACTTGTAGTGACAATCTCCCGCTTTACAAAAACATCTGTCACATTTTCACAGCATGTTTGAGATTGAATGCTATGTATATGGAACGTTTTTATGTTCAAAAGTAAGTACTTACTTCCAAACTACACTCAGTTCATGTTTTGATCAAGCGGGTGAGCGAAGCGAGCTTTTCCTTTATCAAGCGGACGAGCGAAGCGAGCCCGCTTTTCTAATTGATGACATTTGGGTTTTTTAACGGAAAGCACCCTTGACCTTTGGGTTGCTGAGTGACTTTCGAGTCGCGGACGATTTTTCTTGTGATTCCTATACTACTCGACATGGTGGGTTGAACTAAAATATCGGTGACCTCAACTCTGGGTCCCCGAGGTCGCCGCCAAGACTTTTTACTGTATATGCAATTTGACGAGCTAAGTCCAACTGGAGTACTCCTAACACACCTATCTATATTTTAATTTTAAAGAAACATAAAAATCCTTAAAATTATTTCATGGCAGTTTGATACGCACCATCAGAAATATTTCGAACGGTTGTTGGCTTTCAGAATTACCTACTTATGTATCTGAGGTGCATATTTCTAGTTAGAATCTCTATCTCACACTTATAAACAAACAAATTCACCTAAATTGTTAAGGCATATAAGCCACAGAATAGCTCAATATCTAGTTAGCTGCATCTTTGAGCATCTGAGTAGTAAGGGTCGTAAATATCCGAAAACCAAAATGCAATTAACTAAATACCAAAATAGTTTTGAAAAATTTTATACTTAGATTAGAACACATTAATTAATATTCGGAATCTGATTTGGAATCTGATTTGGAAATTAAGACAATATGTATTGTAACATCTGGCTGCTGTTCAAATGGGTCGACGATCCGCCTGTACCACCATTATGCGTCTGTTGGAATGAAAGGTTGGCCAACCGGCAACGATGCTGGCCGAGGACGCTCTTACTAATGTAACGCAATTACACTAGTGGCTCCGATTGGGATGGCACTGGTTCATCCCAAGCGGTTAAACGCAATAATGTCCCTCAGGCATGCTTAATGACAAGGGAATCAAGAAACGGAGCAAGGTTTGGGGCAAGAGATTAGGACAAGGTTGATTAAGTAGCTGCAAGCTGTAGCAAGCTGAGTACAAGACTGAATTCTAGGAATTCTTGGGAAGGGCCGGGGAGTAGCCGGTAAAGTGGACAGAAATGATAACGCGATGGAAAGATGAATCATAACTGGGTGGTCCTATCGGTTGCAAATACTACCGCTAAAATACCCCGAGAATTATGGTGTAAATTCCAAAATTAATTTTTCGTAAGAAACGTGGAAAATGCATATATAATTTAGGTACAGAATCTAATCGAAAAATAATTAAAAAAACCAGACTTTGATTTAAACGTTAATTGAATGCTTAAAACACGAAAATTCCTAGAATTCTTTGGGAAGTAAAACTTTCTACTAAAAATAATCGAAAGCAGATAAATTGTTTCTAATAACTAAGAGGAATTTTAGTAATTATGTAAATAAGAGAAATGTCTGAATTTTAGTTTTAGGAAAAAATGATTCACAAAATAATTTTGGCACTAAACACAAAGTTTAAGAAGTAATTTAAAATTCATTTGAAAATGCAAATATCATCAATTAGAAACGCCGTATAACGCGGGGCCGTATGGCGCCACGCGTATCCTCGACAGCAGTTCGGTCCGGTTCGGTTTGGTCGGCTCAAGCCCGTTTCGGCTCAGGTTGGGTTCCGGGTCGGTTCGGCTCCGGTACGGTCAGACCATGGGTCAACGCACTGTCGGGACAAATCCAGGGTCCAACGCGGAAACGGGTAAATTCCGTCGTTTCTTCAGTAGGGAAAGGTCACGTTCTGGAGAATTTTGGGCAGGGGTTTGGAGCTTATGTAGCCCGTGACCCTGCAAACAAAACGAAACACGCAAATCCACAGTGAAATCCCCTGCTCCGTCCAGGGGGAGGTCGCCGTCCCAGGAAGTTCGGGCAGTGTTTTGGTGGGGGAATTCTTCGGCGTGGTGCTGGTAGTCGATGCGGCCGTACTCTAGGGATCGGAGTGGTGCTGCTGTTGGCGGTGTCGTGTCCGTTCTGGTTTCCCGTTGTGTCCGGGTCGCGTCCGCCATTGGCATCGCAGGAGGCGTTTCTCGGGTCCGCGGCATCTCCGTCCCGTTTAAGAGGTAACCGTCGCGGGGAGGCGTCCATCTCCGCCAGTTTGGGAGAGGAATCCATCACGTTCCGCGGGAATGGCGGGGGGGGGGGCGTTTGGCTCCCCACATAGGGGTTAAATTGGCTCAAATAATCAGAGAAGCCGTTCGCGCGGGCATCCTACAAAAAATTTTGTGTGACGACCCATCGACGACTTTTGGCTGTCGTGAGTGTGAGTTTTCATGCGCCAACCGCAACCCGTCGGTGTCATGCGGTCAAGATTGCCGCTCCACCTGCGTCTGCAAACCAGGTCTATATCGTACTTTCCTTCCCTCGCCTAAATGCGCGCCGCCAAATGGACCCCTGCTCAACAACTGTAAAGCAGCGTCAAGTTAAAGGTTAAATAAACGCCAGATGGCCGCGGCTACGATACGTGTTGTGATTTAGTGCTGTACGCAGCAAACGCTGACGATTGCTTAATTTTTCTGAGGGTGTTTCATGCGCGCTGATCATGTCTGATTGCTTCTAATTATCTTTAAACAGACATGAAAATTCTATTGATGACAGCAAACACGCACGTGTATCTGTACATGCTGGGTGGTAAGATTTAAATTACCTAAGAAATTTTGTAGAATGGCTGCGGCATATTTGTTAAATTAAATTTGTATGCTTTGCCGATAGCCTAGTGGTGTCTCTCTCGGCCTTAAAATGTGGAGGTTGTGGGTTGGATTTCCTCAATCGGCAGATTTTTTCCGGAGTTCTTTGCGAGCCTAGCACATCCCTTGCACCGGGGACTCTCGTCCAACCTGCAGTGATATTGTAACGAGTAGGGGTGTGGCCCTCTAGATTGTCATATGTGATTGGCTCTGTTAGCGGTTCATGTTCGTTCGTGCGTTCAGCTCGACGCTGCACAGCAGCGGTCCGATGCATGCATGCGGCTTCGCCGCTGTAAGTTCTCTAGATTTCTCTGCTTGGGCCTTGCTCAGATCTTGGAATAAAGGATCTTTGTTCCCGGGATCGAGGCTCTGGGCAGTTTCCCCATTATTTTAGGGTCACATTCAGGATTGTTTAGGACAATATTGATGACCCATAGCGTAGCGGAGTCCTAAGTATCCCGACACGTTGGTGTTGGCATTAACGTAGTGCAGGTCGGGGATAAGCCAAACACCGGCACCGCGCCGCAACTTGGTCGCGGCGCCCTATCCCATTCCTTATAAGACCAGTTTGTTATACAAAACAGGATGTTACACAAAAGAGTTTGTTATACAAAAGACTGCAACAGCACACCGGAGAAGCACGCTCGCACGAATTTGTGTGGCAGCGTTTGTCCAAAGAAATTCAACGGGGAAATTCGGCGTCAGTGCTGGGCACGATGGAAGGACTGTGTCACGTCTTCACCATGTCATTTATTCACACAGCTCTCCACAGTCATACTGGCAGCTTATTACGCTGCTGCTGTACGTTGCTATGTCACATCATCACACCTTCCCCAGTGTGTGAAACACACTAAAGAGAAATACATGATAATATGGAATTATTCGATAATGAAACTTTAGAATTAACACCAAAATAATTATTCGAAAACTAAATTCAAAGAATCCTCGGTGTTTTCCAGTGCTTCCTTCTTTTTCCGCTTCTTTTCGCGCTTCAGTTGACTGCGAGTATTAACCTGTCCAGTGTTCGAGGACGTTTCCATTTCCGTCGCGGGTACACATCCAATTTTACCGTTCGGCTGTTCATTACTGACCCCGTTAGTGTTTCCGGCGTCGCTGACTGCCACCACGCTTTTCCGAACATCGCAGTCTTCTGCCATTTGAATCGCCGAAAGTTCTTCCACTGTCCGGTTCTGCTCCGACTGATATCGCCGATGCTCCACCGGTCTCCAGTATCGTGGAGTCGCTTCTGTGCTGCGTCGTGCCATTTTGTCCACCTTCTTGTGCAAGGCAGCCAACTCGCATAGCACAGTATCCAGAATAGCATCTCCGTCCTTGCTGCATCTCCAAGGGCGGCTACTCTCTCGCCTGGTGTAACTAGGCTGATGTTTAACCATACAGTCGAAATCATTATCCACATTGACCTGTAGCACATCGAACTCTTCTTCTATCAGATTGGTACGCCGTGCACCATCCCTCTGCTGCTCTTTCTCCTTTGGGTCGGCGCGACAAGCCTTGGCAATGTGGCCATATTTGCCGCAATTGCCGCACCGCAAATCTTTCGCCCAGCATTCGGCCTTGCGGTGGTCGCGCTCCCGCATCCATAACATCCGCCAGCGTTATATGACCACCGCGGCGTCTCGCTTCCGCCTTCGCAGTCTCGCTCCCGACTGCCGCTCCTGCCGCGGCGGTTGTCGCCTTGGCTTTCTCGCCCTTTTGGTCTGTCCCCACGGCCACCAAGTCCGTGACCTTTATCCGGGCCACGCCCATCGCGGACTCTCGTTACATCAACCATCTCCGTGGTCTCCTTCGTCCCCCGGGCGAGCTCATACAGCTCGCAAATATCCAGGCACTCCTCCAGCTTCGTGCGTGTCTTTGACATCAGGTGCAGCCTGGTGTTTTCGTTCGCCAGTCCATTGGTGAACGTGACCATCATATTTTGCTCCAACACCGTCGCTGGAAACCCCACAACCGTAGCTTTTCGGCGTAGCCTGTTCGAAAACTCAAGGAGCGTCTTTCCAGGTTCCTGCTTAATTCTGAAGTACAACGCCCACTCCGTCTCCTTCAGCGTTTTCTTCACAAACGCTTGCTCCAGTTTATCCGCCAGCTGGCCAGCGGTGAAATCGTCCGGACTGCCAGGCAGGCACATGGAAATAAGGATTTTATCAGAGGCTGCCATAAAGACGGCTGTCCGTGGGTATCTCAGCGAAGGGAGGGCGGCCAGATGAAGTCTGAAAGAATTTCCTGTTGAGGAAATTTTGAAAAATGGCGACGGAGCGGAATCGAACCGCTGGCTACCGAGTGTGTGATCCACGTAGCACAGCCACTGTGCCATCGCCGTTGTTGGCTGAGATCAAGATTTTTGTGCTTGAGCTTGAGACAACCAGGTAGACGGCGGATGGGGCGGCTGTCCTGAGGGCAGAGACTTCTACTCTGACAATTTCCAGCGCCTCCACGCCTAAGGCGTCCAGCAGCACCGCATTTTGCTCGGCCGTGTCCGTGACCTTGTGCAGTTGCTACATAGTTTTTGTAGCGATACTGCCATTATCGCCAGGTCATCGCGGCTGGCTCAAATCTCATCAATCCACCGGTGTCCTCTTTCCTTCCTCCCGACAGCATGGCTGAAGCACTTCCCGAAGGCATGACCACACTGTTCGTAGACACTTTACACCTTTTCACGGCAATGAGGTAGATTCCTCACGCCAGATTGTCACGTCTTCACCATGTCATTTATTCGCACAGCTCTCCACAGTCATACTGGCAGCTTATTACGCTGCTGCTGTACGTTGCTATGTCACATCATCACAGACTGGATAAGCTGAACGAAATTTTTCTGTTACAGTTTAGCGTGTTTTTTTTCCTTCAGATTCGTGTATTGTGGATTGATTTGACCAATAAAGTCAGTAAACAGGATACGGCGCCGCAACGTTAATGAAGGGGTGCCGAATCATTTTCATCGCAGTCCAGCCGGCCTGTCCAGGTCATAGAAAAGTTTGATGCATTGTAGGAGGTGTATCGAACGGCATTATGTTGTATGCCGCAGGGGAAGCAGCAAAGAAGAAACTAAATATTCATAGCGTAGCAACGATGCCTGCTTTCATCACCAGTTGCTAAGACACACTGATCTCCAGTGTGCCTTTTCAAATGGAACAAGTATTTATGGATGGTCCCTAATTCCCATTCACGAGAATGCAGGTCGCTGCACTCGTACAATACGTACGTGTTCACCACTCTGTAAGCCATGCACAAATATACAATAATTTTATGGTATGGGCACATCGCACTAGGCAACCGGAGCGCTGCATTTTTACTTTTTTGCAACGAGCTTGATCGCCAGGCGGAGGCGCAGCAACACCGATATCAATTTTGACATTTTTGCTGCGCTGGAGATGCTTGCATTGATTAAATTATTCAAAATAATGTTACAGTATTACGGTTTGCACGCAGCGCAGCTTACCCGGCCATTTCCTGAGCCGCGGTCATAATTGTAATGTCCACCCAAAAGCGATCCACTGCCAGATCACAGTCTATGTAATACACCGCCCGTCGGCGATTATTTGCAGCAATATGCACTGCAATTTGAAAACAGGGTATAGAATAAAATAATTTCATCAGCAGTGGCAAAGTGACCGTGGCCACAGCTGAAAGCGATTGTGTCGTTCGTGTGTATCGTATCTTATATTTAGCATTTAGCATGCTTGCATACAGTACGATACATTGCAAGTATCTTACATTTAGCTTCTTTACTGCATGCAACCATCGTTTCTTTCAAAAACCAGAAGAGAGAAAGTAGAAAGACCACGTACAAATCCGTGCTTGTGGTTTTTATTTGGCTCTGCCATGGTGGCTGAATAGCCTGCTTCTTCGGGCGTCTTGGCGATATAGGTGATTGCCGTGGTATCCGGACACCACCGTCGGACAGTGGGAGCGATGTTTTGCGGGAGGTGATTATATTAAGGGGAGGAGGTCAGCCGCGTGGTGATAGCGGCCGCCGCCGCACCGGGTGGCAGTTCCTGTCAAGCATTCTCTAAGCTTATCCTGTCCGATATTCCGCAGGCGTAGTGCTGCTGCTTTATTAGTTGTTTTCTTATATTACCACTGCGTATTGATTTCGTATGCTGGACGACATTGACAATTAACTGCACGATTTTTCGAAATAAATATTGCTTGAAATCGGAAAACACTTATCTGACGCACACTATACAAATTCATTTTTGTTGGCTTATCGCAAGTCAGCCTTACCGAAAGCCATGTGGCAGTGAGTAACAACAAATGAAGCGTAAAAAACTACCCAATAATGCGATAACATACCAACTGTCACTGCCGCGATAAGTGAATGACCGAACTTACACTAAGTCAGCCTGTTAATAAACAACCGAGTACATGCACTTTATGCATCTACACATCGCACATGCAAAAAAAGAGCGCGAAAATGTTACTCTAAATGTCCAATTATTTTCAATACATCGGTAAAGCTAATTACTGCCGTCTTGAATGACTATCTAGTTAGACTTAATATTGCTTAATTAATAATTATTGCGCGAAATTACCACTGATTAGTAATGAATGCCATCTCGAAGTCATTAAATTAAAGGTAGCATATGCTTCTCTCTGCGTTCGTAATTATGTTAAATCTATAACTTGTTAATACCAAATTTGTTAATAACAAAATTATTATGCAGACTGCACTCACCGTGTACTGTACACCGGTAACGTGTACCGCGCACAGTGCATGGATAAGTCAACGATGCCCAACGCAAAATCTAGTCGAGACTAGATTTTCCGTTTGGCAGTGTTGCCTTAAAGTGGGCATGTGTTGACTGTTGCAACAAACCAATGCACAACGCTTGCGTTATCTCTGAATGAGACATAGCAGCATGACGCGCACTGTCCGTTGGGCAGCATTATCATAAGTCAGTCACTGCTGAAGGTACCTACTGATTCGCCGGTACTGAAAAGACCATAGCCCGCTCGCGCAGATATTATGAATAAACCAAGCATATTTTATCAAAGAAAAACTGATTTTCAAACTAGCTCATTTTACTGCTACTGTGGACTTGGAGAGAACGTCATAGCAAGCAGGTTAGACGGCCAATAAGAGAATAGAATCGTCGGTAGAACATTCTCGCGATTGGTCGAGAAAATATAACTAAACGGGTACGTACTTGGTTGTTGGCTCAGCCATTGTGGCTAAACACCGTCACGACAAACGACGGCGCCATGACACTTGGGCCACCTGACACTTTGGCCACCTGACATTTGGGCCACCTGACACTTAGGCCACTGTACATTTGGGCCACCAATACTTTCAAAAACAGAAAAAAAGTAATAAAACACTTTCGATACGAATGATAGCTTCTTTATTTTTACTGCACGCAAAAAATTAAACATTGGCTTATTAATAACAGTTCTGCAACTTGCAGCATTAACAACGTACTAGTAAGTACACATGATTCGAAAACAAGCTTGCATTAATCTTATGGATTTTTTGTTTTTGTTGGCATATAAACGGATACACAGGGTCTCCATGGGTTAGATTGCAGTATTGCACTATTGTAGCTGCATAAGTAAATCGAACTCATGCGCTGAAGATGTGAGCCGTTGCCGTTAAATTTACTCCACATCCTTCTACTTACCAAACATCTTCCTGATCAGATCAGTTATTAGAGACCGTAATGTGCGGTGGCCCAAGTGTCAGGTGGCCCAAATGTCAGGTGGCCCAAGTGGCAGGACACCTAAACGACAACTTGGTGGACACAGCTTTACACTCCATATACAAGCTTGTTCTGTATTTTTTCTAACGTAAAGGTACATCACAAGCGTAACTAGTGTAGCTTAGCGTATGTGGCCGGTGAATTTGTACAGATATTTGTCGCTGTACAAGTACATGTGCTGACTGTTGATGCAATAGAAAATACGGTACATAGGGTTTTTTTATGGACGATTTAACTATCTGTAGCCTGTGCTTTGTGGCGGCGCCCTATCGCATTCTCTGTAGTACAAAATAATAAGTTGTACAAAACAGGATACGTCGCCGCCACGCAGTGCCCGGCCGTCCAACTTGCAGATGAAGTATGATGCCGCGGCCTGGACGGCTGGAATGCAGCCAAAATGATTGCTGCAGTCCGGTCGAGCTGGCCGCTGCAGGCCACAGGAAAGTTGGGATTCATGTGGGTCATGCTGCTTAATTGGCACGACAATGGCTAAGGCGCAGCTGCGGTTAAGGTGCGAAAGGGATTCAGTTTTTGGAGACGCCGCTTATGGCAGGCATTCGCCGATTTCGCCGAGACATCAACCGATACCGATGCCAGAATGGCCGACGCCGCAATTGAACTGTCCTCCTGTTCTGCAGTTCAGTGGCCCTGTCGACCATGTTGGTCTCGGCCTTCCGCTGAAATGCAGTGTAGTATATACGTGAGCAGTATATATAGCATGCACGCACTGATGTACATTGTACTGCCGGTAAAACTGACATACGGTGTAGAAACTAGCAACGGTCGGCCGGCGTGACACGGCCCATCCCGGTGCAGGTGCACTGACCATGATTTGCAATGAAATAATGCACGACATGATGTTTTATGCCGTTGGCTCGGGACAGCAGCAGACAACTAACTAAACGTAGCGTACCAACGCTCTTACTTTATATTTATATTACCAGTTGCTAAGGCACACTAGAGATAATACTCAACTTCAAAAACGAATAATTTTGTTCAGTGTAAAATTAATGCATGTACGGTACAGTGAAACTCCTCTTAACATTCACCTTCCTATAACATTCACCCCTTTACTGCATACATGAGGTTGGGAACCAAACCGTCCGGTAGACTATAACACAGGGGCAGTTCTCTGTACAACATTCACCCCTTTACAGCTATAACATACACCTTTTATGGAACCGGTAAAATTTTTACCAGCTTATTCAATCCCTGCGTAACATACGGTTGGCTAGGATGGGGGAAAAAAACCATTTCGGTGTCTCTAAAAGAAAGTTCTGGCTTCTGTTTTTAATCTGTTTAGTACCGGATCTTCCAACTCCAAGCGTACAAAAGGGCAGCAAAACCAACATTCAGACCGAATAATGTCCACACTCTGATATTTTGTTAATTGTTTTGTTAAGAAACACCCCCGGGGGGCTGTGCCCCTGAGGGC